GAGGCTTACCATAAAAGAAGTGTTTCTTATATTTGAGATATAGGTGGACATCAAGTTAGATTGTTAGTCTAGGATTTAACTGTATAAGGAATTAGGTAATCTTTCATAGTTATATTCTTGGTAGCCTAATGGAAAATGAAATCTTCTCACATGTCTGAGACTTCAAAATAATAGACAATGTCAGAATGAAGAATCATGCATACTCAGTGTATGTATTTATATTTGAAAATAATGCATGAGTATGATGTTCTGCATAATCATTGGTATTTTTCATATTGTTACTGATTTTTTTGGTCTCTTTGTTCTATCAGGTACTAAGAAAGATGTTTTCAGATTTCCCCTATGAATGTGAACGTGTCTGCTTTTCTTTTTAGTTTATTTCATTTTGAGGTTATATGGTGGACACGTGTGGTAATTGTGCTACTCTGTTGGGATGGCCCCTTTATCATTATGGAATGTCTCTTCCTTTAGTTGGGCTTCTTGCTTATAGTCTGCTTTGGTATACAGTAGCGTAGCTGCCCTTCCTTTCTTTGGTTAGTATTTGCATAATATATCCTTTTCTGTCCTTCCATTCTCAGTTTTATTGTATCCTCACTTAAGATGTGAATATTGTATGAACCATATAACTGTATATTTTTTCTTTTTTTTGGTACCAGGAATTGAACTCAGGACCTTGTGCTTGCCAGGCAGGCGCAGTGCCACTGAGCTGTATATCCCTGGCCCATAATTGTATATTTTATAATCCAGTCTATCATCTTTGTCTTGTAATTACTGTATGTACTCCTAGATATTCCATCTTTTGTTATCCTGTAAGCTTGTTTCATTTTTAATTATTGTTCTATTGATACCCAAGAGATTACAATGTGAATCCTTAGTTTATTAGAGTATAATGTAAATTATCACCTCATCCGTTTGCAGGCAGTGCTAGCATGTTAGTATATGTGCATTCCATTTACCTTCCCATCTTTCACACTGTTGTCATGTATTTTAACTTAGTTACATGTGTTTTAAACCTCATTGCACTTATTTCTGCTTTAGGCAGTCAGTGTTTGTTAAGATTTACTTTTCCAGATGTACACAGTGGTGCGTGTCTGTAATTCCAGCTACTTGGGAGGCTGAGGCAGGAGAATCACAAGTTCAAGACCAGTTTGGGCAACTTAGTGAGACCCTGTCTTAAAACAATAAAAAGTGCTGGGAAGTAGCACAGTGATAGAGCTCTTGTCCAAGAATGCCCAAACCTCTAGGGTTCAATTCCCAGTACTGCAAAAAAGGAAAAAAAGAGAGAGAAAAAAACCAACATTTCCACTGTTCTTCATTTTTCCTATATTTGTGTTCCCATTTGGGATTATTTTTCTTCCACCTGAGTAACTCCCTTTCATTTCTCTTTGTGTGCACGTCTGCTGGCAACAAATTATTTCATTATTTTTGTTCATTTGAAAATTTCCTTTTTTCAGTTTCACTTTTGAGGACTGTATTTCCAGAAGAGAATTCTAGGTTCTTGTCTTTCCTTTAGCACCTTAAAGATGTCACTGTATTAAATTTGGATTTTGCTGTTGTTTTTATTGAGTTATTGATCGTGAGTATTAAATTTTTGGTTCCTGGAAGGGGACATGTCTTCAGTGGATCTTTTTGGATTTTCTTGTTTCTGGTTTTTAGGCAGTTTTCCTATGAGTCCTGCGGGTTGGTTTTCTTCATATTTATTCTAGTTGGGATTTATAGCCCCTCCTAAGTCTTTAGCTCTAGTCTTTTATTGCTTTTGGGAAATCTCCAGATATTAGCTTTTTAAATACCACTTCTGCAACATTGTTTTCTCTTCTGCATGATTAATTTACATGGATTTTTTTCTTTTTTTTTTTTTTTTTTAGTTTCTGATTCCTTTTAACTCTGTTTGCTAAATTTAGTGTGAAATTTTCTACTGATCTGCTTCATGAATTCTTTTTACCTCTGTCCTAAAGATAGTTTTAGGCCTGTCTTTGTCATTTCAGTATATGTTTTCTGGTTATGTACTTTCCAAGTGATCAGTAAATGATGAAATTCTTCATCTGTCATCTGTTTTCTTGGATATATTAATGATGGTTATTTGAGAAATCATGTCTGATAGCTCCTACTCTCGATCACCTGTGAAATTATTTCTGTTGGATTTTCCTCCTGGGTCTGTCTCTTGCTGTGCCTCATGACATCTGCTCAGATGCCAGGTACTGTAATTTGAGAACTGTAGACATCACCCTCCCTTCCTCGCCCCCGCCTTCCTTCCTCCTTCCTTCTTTCCTTCCTTCTGAGGGGATTTGTCTGTCCTCTGGTAGGTGCTTATGGAGTAGGGCTGCCTGCCCCATGCATTGACCAGCAGAGCCTCTCATGAGGTAAGATTGCAAAATGTGTGAAACTGTTCACCCTGGTTTCCCCTCACTGCTTTCTAGGCTGCAGCCCTCCAGAGGTCATAGTTAATGAATGGCCTACAAGACTGGCAAAACGGTTGTGTGGCTTATTTATTTTCTCTTTTGTTTGTTTTGCTGCTGTCTGGTTTATGATGCTTTTTGGCCTTTTGTACTATACAATTTAAGAATTTGTCACATGCCTCTGGGAAAAACTGTTGAACGTTGCGGTCATATTTCTGCAACTCCCTTCTTTCAGGACACTTGGCAGCTCTGAACTCCAAGTTTTGCCTGCAGCCCTTTGAAATTGCCGAAAGCTCTGATGACTTCCCTGCCTCTAACAGCCGCCCTTGCTTGGCCTTGGGTTACACTGGACTTTGCCCCCTGCGTCTTTTCCCTTTGCTGACTTTGCTTTGTATCCTTTCACTATGAGAAGTCATAAATTGAATGTTACTGCGTGTGTACTGAGTCTTCCCAGCCAATCACTAATCCTGGGCTCATCTCAGGACCTCTGGTGAACATGGCTTTTCTGAATTTCTGTCAGGTGTGATTATCTCAGAGGCTTTAGTCCTCCAAGAATGATCAGAAACAGATGGTAATGTATTGTGATCCTTTTGTATATGTGTGTAACTGAGGCTCAGAGGAGTGGATTTTATCCTGGGTCATCTATCTAGTAATTCCCAACAGAACCAGGAATGGAACCAGATCTAGCTCTGGAGTTCCTCTTTCCTTTCATTATTTCTTATATTCTCTGAATGTATAATCAAAGTTACTAAAATGTTATGGTTTCAGTTTTGGAAACTCTTGTCCATTATTAAGTTAACCATTTAACACAGTCATTATGTCTAAGGAATGTTTTTAGATCAATTGCAAAAGTAAGTTGGAGTTTAGTGACTTATTTACTACTTTACGGAGACAGTTTGTACTTTTTTCAATAAAAATGTCAATAAATTAGCAAATTTCTTTTTTCAAAGTAGATAAATTTTCTTTGTTGGATATTATATATGTTAGCTCTGTATGTTCATGTATGCATATTGTACAACTGATAAAAATTATTACTTGCATTTTCTGTGGATAATTTTATTTAGTTTGATATTTAGATGTTATATTTATCTCATATGATAGACATCAAACTATATTAATAAAAATATCCTCTAGTATTTGTTCAGATAGAGTTTCTTTCACTGTAGGTCTGACCTTTCAACACAAGAAATCCAGACACAATCAGCAGTTCTCAAGTTGCTGGTGCTGTGGGCAGTGGGATGATTTTGGTTCTTCCAAGTGTTACTACCCTTGTGGCATTGTCTTCCGACTTGTAGCTTGTTCCCAAGGTCCTGTGAGTGCCAGGGGTTCTGGGTTGCAAAGGCAGGGAGAATTTTTTAATCCTCATGGCCTGGGAAAGGCTGTTGCCTGAGCTCTTCAGGAATTGACAGAGATTTACTTTTTTCTTTCAGAAAGTGGGTTTTATTTGTGTTAGATGACATTTTCTACTTGTAGAACTTAGTGGTGTATGAGTACTTTGACTTTCACTCCCCAAGATTGGCCCACTGACTTAAAGTGATTGGTGGGGCTGTGCTGGTGGGGCTGCCTTCCCCAGGGGCCTTTGTTGGAGGGAGAGACCTGAAGTGCCCCATCAGTGCACAGTAGACAGAGACCGTGGTCCCCACCGGTTCCCATGGGCCAGGCAGAAGGAAGGTCCACGCCTTGGTGTCTGCACAGTTAATCAGCTCTACTAGAAGTAGACAGCATGCATTTGAGGGTATACAGATTTTCAGGTTTAACTTTACATAATGTTTAATATGAGGGTAGCCAGAAAACTTTCCAACTTTATAATGACACAGACTTGGTCCTGTTTTTAGAAATAAGATAGAGTCATAACCCTTTCTGATTGATTGTGATATCATGCTGTGAGAATGCTCTTTTGTCTTTGTTTTTGTTGTTGTTGTTTGGTTTTTTGAGATAGGGTCTTGCTAAGCAGTTTGGGCTGGCCTTGAATTCACTATGTAATCCAGAATGGCCTTGAATTTACAGCAATCCTCCTGCCTCAGCCTCCCAAGTGCTGGGATTATAGGCATGCACCGCCATGGCCATGCCTAGTTTAGAAGGCTCTTTGAGTAAAGGATTTGATATCTTTCATGAAATAGAATATTAGATTTGTTTTGGTCTAAAATGCTATTTTTTAGGTTGAAAGTTCCTTTTAAAAATTGTTTTTGCTTAGTCATCTTTACTCTAAGAATTAAAATGTAGAGTATAAGGATGCTACTATATATACAGGGCAACTGAAGCAAAATGGGGCAAGAGGAGTAAATTTAGCTGGGCGTGGTGGTGCAAGCATGTAATCTCAGCATTCTGGGAGGTGGAGGCAGGAGGATCATAAGTTTGGGCCTAGTGTGGGGAACTTAGCAATTTAGACCCTGTCAAGATAGATAGATAGATAGATAGATAGATAGATAGATAGATAGATAGATAGATGCATACATACATACATACATACATAGATGTATATTTACTTGAAGAAAGGGAAGTAGTGGCAGAGAAAAGAACAGTAGTGAAGGGAGAAGTAAATGCTGCTTAGACATTCTTTTTCTTACAGTTTTAAAGAGTTGAATTCTTGTTTCATACCTCTAGGCCAAGTTACCTAGAAGTCTTTGTTTTAAGTGAAGATTGTGAGAATCAAATGAGGTAATGTATCTGAAGGCAATTCTTAGATTGTTAAGTGCTAGAAACATGTTGGAATTATTAATAAAAGAAGAGATGAATTGCTGTGATTGGTCTTGTGCTTTAAATTTTTTTCACTAAAGTTAGTGGAATGGGGTATAAAAAATTGATTATCTTGCTATCTTGTTTCTTTTTCATAAAACATTCAGCAAATGTTTATCCAGGTGTCTGCGAAGTGTGAGGCCTTTGTAGAACTCACAGGCATCAATCCCAAGGGCAAAGCCCAGTTCCTGCACACTGGGGGGTGGTTCCCGCTGCAGGTGACCCCTGAGAAGCAGTGTTCACATAGGGCGCCAGGGGACTCTGAGCAAGGGCTCCTGCACCCAGATGGTGCCAAGGAGCAGCATGGGATGTGTCTCAGCTGCTGCACTTGGAAAGAAGTATGAGTAGTTAGGAGTAGAAAGATAGGAAGTACCTCATGCAGAAGAAGCAGTTAGAAATTCATATTTTTAATATTGAATGTGGGGCAAGGAGTGGCGAAGAGATTGGGTAGCCAAATTGCTGGTGGAGAATTTTGGTTTGCAGATTTGAGGGACATGAGAAGCGGCGTGTGAGAGCACCCAGCCAGCATCCACAGAGTTCAGTGGGACACTGGGACCGAACGTTTGGATTTGAAAATGACCAGAGTACAAATGAAAATGAACGCATCGCTCAGAGGGCCTGTGGATAGGAGGCTGTTAACCAGGAGCTCTTGTATTGTATGTTTTTGTATATTACATATTTTTGAAGAATACATAGCAAATGATGAGCATGGGTTCACCACTGAGAAGCAAGAAAGGAGGACAGAGCAAATCAGAATAGAGTGCAGCAGAGAGAGCCAGTAAAGCTGGACTGGAGAAGGGCAGTGGGGAGCTCACTGCAAAGGCTGACTTCTCGGAGGCCTTAGGAGTTGCAGGCTTCTGCCTTTGCCTTTCTCCTACCACGTTGCCTCAGGTTGCAGAACCTCACTTCCCTCTCCTGTCTTCCTGTCCTCTCCACTCCGTGTCACTGTCTGCCTGCCCCTTCCTCCACCTCCCTTCCTGCCAGTGTCCTGCCTGTGGTGCACGCACCCCTACTCGTGTTGCTGAGGGAGAACTCGGTGGCCCCTCTGTTTTTGGAGGTGCCCCCTCCGTTTTTGGAGGTGCCCTGTGTACTTCACCTGCGGTGTAGACCTGACGAGGCTGAGGCTGAGGCTGAGGCTGAGGAGCACGGTTTGGTTAGTGCCTGGGTGCACAGGAGTCAGGCGTCAGGGCAGGTGGGCTGTAGGAGTGGAGTAGGAGGATGGGGCTAGTCTCATATTCTTACTTCCTGTTCTTACTGGAACGTGTGAGGCCACAAATGGAGTTCAGCATGATGTGTGAGCCAAGATCAGGAACCAGCAGGATCGGTTCACTTTCTGCACCCAGAGCCCTGAAGCTTCCTGGCTATGTTGCTTCTCTAATCCTACAGGAACCTGTCCTCCAGGTTGTGCTCCTTTGTCTTAAGAGGATACATCTGCATCTGACACCATTACTCCCAAGTTTTCTTACTCTCATGGAGCTTTTATGGCTTTATCCTGGACATCCTCTTTGCTTGTAAACCATACTTCGCTTGTTCTGTTTTCTCACTGACAGAGCTTTTTCTTTGAACTCTTTCCTTTAGTTCAAATTGATGAGCTTCCTAGGAGTCAGCCTGCCATCTGAAATTAGAGCCTTGCTCTGACCTCAGTGCAGTGGGCAGGCTCCCTGGACGGACTTGATGTGTGCCGTTCTGTGTTCCAGCTGGGGGAAGAGGTGCTGTCCGTAGATCTCAGGCTGCTGCTCGCTCACCACCTGCCATGTGGGTTTGGTCTTGTTCCTGCTGTTGGCAGGCACCTCCGTGGTTCTGGTTGGCTTCCCACCTCTAGCGGCAGTACCAGTGCACAGCTCTGAGCAAGTCTGTCTCCTCTGTGCATTTCATGATCCTTTCTTCCCCAGCAAGAAGATAAGCAAATGTGTGGCCCAGGATTTGGCTTTTCCCGTTTTCTCTCTCCTCTGTTACTTCAGTTAGTTTTTCATCTGTTCTCTGAGAAGTCGAGGAGGAATGAATGAATTGTATTTCAAAAAAAAAAGAAAGCTGATAAAAGTCATTTTAAAGGGCACATAATCTTTACTTGTAATCTTTCCCTCTAAAGGCCTCAGGGACTCATATGAAATATTTTAGTTTCATAACTATAAACTGAAATTATTCTTGTGTTAAATATGTTGTGAAGACTCACACAGTCCTCCAAGCTGTTCAGTTTTGGCTATTAGGGTGACTATATTATTTGCAAGCTCTGAACTTTGAAGAGGAATTTTGCTATATAGTATGCCAAGGTGGCTTTCCAGTTCATTTCTCTCTTTTTTTAAATAAATAAGCAAGAGTAAAGCTCATTAAAAGGAAAAAATTCATTGCCAGTTAAGGTTTGCTTCCTGCTGTCTGAAAATTAGGACCATATAATCCATTAACTTCTACTTCTCACCCTAACTTCTACATATCCAAACTGAATTTAATGTCACTTGTCAGAATTCTCTTACTTTTAGGTCCGTAGTTAGAACCTAAAATTCTCTCAGAATTAGGTCCCTAATTCTGTTCATTGGAGCAGATTATTTTTCCATTTCATTTGTCTGATTTTGTAGCTTTTAACTGCTTCAGCTATTGGAAATCCTTTTTGGAAACAGGTGGAATAGAAACAAACACATACCTGTAGGAAATTAAGATAGAGCTGGTCACTAACTTAGGGACTTTAAACTGTTTTTGTTGTATTTCTTTAGCATGGGGAGTGTGTGTGTGTGTGTCTGTGTATGAGAGAGAGAGAGAGAGAGAGAGAGAGAGAGATCTAACAAATGGGGAGAATTCACAATGTGATTTTTTTTTCAAGAAAAGAATGTTACAGAACCCAGTGGAAAGGTTGTCTTAATCCCAGACAACCTATCTTAATGAAATATTTAGAGCCACTTAGTGCTTTTAAGCAAATATCCTGAACCCCAAGGGAAAGTAGTTAGCCTGGGAATAGAGGGTTCATTTGTTTTTTGTTTTTCTTCTAGACCAGTGGAAATTGTGGGGATGGGTATGTCAGCTGTTTTATGGCTGCTAATCACTTTATAGACTTATGGTTTCAGTGCATTACTCAAGGAACCTACTAGATAACTACAGTTTCTTATGAGGCCTCTTAAAATGATCTGTTGCCTGATTTTCAGTGATTAAAATAGAACTTTAAAAATTGAAATTGATGAAATCCTTGAAAGAAGTATCTTAATGAAAGATGCCTTTATTTTGTTTTGTTTTTAGGTAATATGTACATTGACACTCTTGTAATATAAATTAGAATTATGTTTCACTCCTATTGTCAATACAAGAAGCTTTTAAGTATAAATTGCTCAATTTATTAAGATTTATAAAGTTAATACAAATTGCTTATGTTGGAATTAAAATTAATCCCGTAAGGTGAAATAATCTTACATTAGAGCCTTGAAATCTCACCAAGGCTTGTGTGTTCTGTATGTTTTGGCTACAGCCCTACCACATATGTTATGGATGAAGATGAACCTCGATTCCTTGAAGAAGTTGATTACAGTGCAGAAAGTAATGATGAGTTAGACATTGAGTTGGCTGAAAACGCAGGCGATTATGAGCCTTCTGCTCAAGAAGAAGTGCTTTCTGACTCTGAATTGTCACGAACCTACCTATCTTAAGCCCTCTGCCATCTCTTATTAACTGCAAAGAAGAAATGAAATATCTTGGTTTTTATTACACAGAAAATTTGAGAAAAATGAGTTTACAAAGAACTAACTCAAAAAGACAAGTAACTTGGGCCTGTTTGGTTTCAAGATAAATAAATATGTTACTAATTCATGATAAAATTGGTACTTGTTTTATTTTAGATGTTTAGTGTACTTTACATAGCACTGAATTATCAAATAATGAATTTCCTTAAAAAAGAACCCTGAGTATCATTGCATGGGTTTTTATCATCTTTGATTATATTGTGTGTCAAGTGGATAATTTCGAAGTTACCAGAATATAAAATCTGAATTCTAGAGTTGTTGAAAACAAATCTATATGTACAAGGGTTTCTGTAAGATGTGTTTGTGTATATAGGTGGGCAGATATTGAAGATAAGATTGTTCTTCAGAATCATGTTCGCTGTTGGATTGTGACTAAAGTAATCTAGAATTTGCCCTGAAACCATTACATTCTACATTTACCAAATTAAATAAAACTATATTAAATATTGCATTTATTTGTCAGCCTTTTTAACCAGCTACAGTTATTTGGTGCATAGAACTTTGTGAGAATATTATAAAACCCCAATATTTGAGCACCATGATAAAAAATTTCTTTTTAAAACATCCTGTTCTACTAGTGCTTAGATTTTGATGGTGTGGGTATACCTGTGCCTATTATGAAAGATAAATTTGAACAGCTCTTTTGTGTAAAATTGTGTCTCAGAGATGCACCTAGTTTCTCATTGTTCTCAGTTTGTTAAGAAACTTTAAAAACACCATGAGGAATGATCTACTATTAAGTGTGCATTTGTATATTGAGCTGATTGTGCATCTGTGAACTGTGCTGTGTGTTAGGCTTACTAAAGTGCATTTGTTTAGGGCCTGCTGATACTAGCACTGAAGTTGTAATAACTACGATGAGCCTAAATCAGTTCTAGTAGTGATACCTTCCTGAGTTGTAGCTTTGAGTGTGCTACAGGAATGACTGTCTTTAAATAAAATAAAACAAGTCCAGTGACTATGGATAATTGCTTTAAGCACTAAGTTTCTGTTGTAACAAACTCTAAAAGATGCTACATCTGCAGATTCTTGCCAGGATTCAGACACTTAGGTTTTTGATCCATATCTTTCTCACTTATTCCAAGATGAGAATTTTTTTTTTTTGGTTGGTCTTTTTGAGACAGGGTTTCATTATGCAGTTCAGGCTGGCCTTGAACTCACTTTGTAGCCCAAGCTGGCCTCAAACTCATGGCGATCCTCCTGCCTCAACCTCCTTAGTGTAGAATATTTTTTAAACCTGTTAAAATAGAAAACATTATAAAGTATGTTACAGATTTGTGCATTTTTCAGTTGATTTTTTTTTTTTTTTTTTGAATGAATGACATGTCATTCACAGTGTAGATTCTCTTTGTCTTGGGAACCAGGCTTAAAAACATAATATGGGGCAATTGAAAAAGAGGTCTTTTCCTCTAAAGAGTATTTATTAATCTCATAAAATAAAGATTAAATAGACTGAGAGTGAACCACTTATACTAGTATGGTAGCCAAATTTAGGAAACATGAGGATAATTTACCAAGGTATTATTTATTCAAGACTTATTTATTATAAATGATTTTTTATATATAAAGCAATTGCATATTATAATTATACTCTTTTTAGAGACTAAGTTGTGGAACTACTATGTCCATGTATGAATTATTCTTGGATTTTACCATATTAGAAATTAAAAAGTCTTGTAAAAAGTAACTATAGTTACTGTAATGTGCAGAATTACTCCAAATTTTGAATTATTTTAGCATTATAAAAATGCCTTGTCATGTACAGTTTTTTTTATTGAATTACATCTTTTACTATGTGTTACAAACCTGAACATAGCTTTTATTAAATATTCACAAGTTGAAGAGAAAGTCTTTCTGGTGAGGAAATGGCTTTTTTTTACAAACCATAAATTGCTTTGGAAAAATAAAAAATATTTTAAAGTCCTTACTTTCCTAAGTAGAGGTATAATTTTGATTGGCTGTCAAGTTCATTTCATATCTCATACCTGTTTCCTCATTTTTTTTCAAATTTCCAAAGACATTTGTGATGCCATCTGTACCACAGGCCTGAGCAGCGTGATGAGGTCTGATAAACTGGAGCTTCCATTTGTTTACCTTGCTTTTGGTGCTCCGAATGTCTTCAGGGGAGTTTGGACCTAATCCAGTGGTTTTTGAGCTGTACTGTGCAACCAGGTGCCGGGAAGGGCTTCTCGGAGCAGGTTGCCAGCGGCCCAGACTGGGTCCCTAGCTCCGCAGCTCTCACCAGCCCCCAACCGGAGGTGCTGCAGCCTGCACTGAGAGCCCATGGCATGAGTTCCTGTACTCTAGCAGCAGCACAGTCCCCTGAGAACTTGAGAACCTGAGAACTAGAAATCAGCACCAGGAGAATTAAGATCAAGCTAATTTGTGTATAGGAAAGAAGCATACCCGGCTTTGTAAGGCCACAGGGTTACCCATACACGGCAGGATCTTAGCTTAGGTTTCTGACAGCTGGCCTCACCTTCTGGATTAACACCAAAGGGCTTGCTGTCTTTTGCCTTTCCCCAGAGATTTTTGAACTGTTGGAAGTTTAAAGGATTTTCTTAAATTTGTGAAATGCATTTAGGCAATGTAAAAGGCAAAACCTATGGTTCACATTGGCTTCTTGTGGTCACAGTCTTGCTTGAATACAGGACGTATGATTAGTCTCTGCCTTTTTTGCTAGTTTTGCGTGGCATTTAAAAACATTGATCTGAATCCTAATTGCAAATAAATAGCCTGAAGTTCTGCTTTAGATGGTGTACAGATAGCAATGAATATGATATTCCTTGATTTCCAATATTTAAATTAAGATGACTATAATGATATAGGCATTGAAGTGGGTTATATAATAAATGTACTAGTGAAATTGTTTTTGTGCATGATTCAGATAAATTACAGCAATTAAATAATAAATGCATCCTTGTAAATCCTCTTGTTTTCCTAACATACTTAATCATTACCAAATGTGTGGCTTTTTTCTCTTTTTCTGGTGAAGGCTTAGTAGCCATATGAAACCCTAGTTCTTTGATAGGAAAACCCTAGTTGTTTTGAAAGGAAAAACGTATCAAAGCAGTATTTTAACTGGGACACTGTCCTACTTAATACAATAGACTGCTACTACTAACTAAATAGTGTGATGGTTAAAATATGTGCAAATTCCTGCAACATAAAAGGAAATCTGGAAGAAAGTTTCACTTCATTTTTATGGAGATGAATATTTTGAAGGATTCGCCTTTCAAATGTCACATCCACTTGTTCCCATTATCAGCGATCCCCGCTACTGTAAGCGATTTGCCTGCCTGTACTGGACAGATGGAAGTCGACCTTGAGCGTGCTGTGGTCCCTTTTTCCTTCCACTCCCGTCCCCAAGTAGTACTTACACTGCAGCACTTTTTCAGCTTTCCTGCTTATTAGTTGCATTTGAGCAGATGACTTTTGCATACTCTGTAGTTTCAAACTATGCAGTGCTGAAGTCCAGGTGAGCAACCATCTTCTGGAGGTGTTTCTGGCTCTGCACGTGCTAATCTGGCGTTCTGCAGGGTGTGGTGACTGTGTGCGCGCGGCGTACTCACGTTCACAAACCCTGTGAAGTGGAACTGGCTTGCAGGGGCCCATCTGTTTCTAAACCCAGATAACTTCAAAAGGAAAAAGACTGAACTCCAAATATTTCAAAAGATTTACTCTTATAAGACAAGTGTGAGCTGATCCCTCCTGAAGCCATCATGGGTATGCTGAGTGGTTATCAGGTGAGCAGTGGCAAAAGTCCGGTCAGGGTAATTGTGACCCGTGAGCTCCCAGATGTTAATGCTCCTTTGAACCACACGGGGACCTTTGACACTGGCAAGTGGGAAGGAACAGTAAAGGCAAAAATGCTTGTTATTGAAAATAGAAAAGACTGTGGTTTAATACACAAGGTCTGCACCTTAGAAAACATTGGCTTCTCCAGATTTTTCTGTGACTGAACGTGTAATTAAGTAGGGAATTTTAGACCAGTGCCAAATATCTGCTAAAGTCAGATTGTGTACTTTACAGTGTGGCAACTTTATCATTTATACTTTCTCATTTTTGCCTTGTATCTGTATGCTTATATTTTTATTATTTCCCTTATAATCATTCTTAGAAATTGTTGACATTGCTTCTTCTTCTTTCAGAATATGGGCCAATTGAAACAGTAAATTGTATAATTTTATATAAAAATATAAAATTGAAAATACCTCTTTTAAAGAATCATCACCTATAATGTGGAGAGAGAAATGTCCAGTGCCTGCCTACCTCTGACAGCCTTTATTTCTCCCTCCTAAAAAGCTATGCGAAATCACTGAACAAAAATCACTGCTGCTCTCCCATGTGCTAAAGTTCCAATCTCTTCTAGGATAAAGTGAATAGTTAGGTGGTTATCTCCCAACTATCCATTAGTGTTCTAGACTCATGTATTCTGAGGTCACCGACTTCCTGAGCCTTCAGTGCTGGAGCACACAGCCCGAGCTATGCCGTCTGGCATGTCCTGTCGACGCAGGGCCGAGGTGGGAATGTGGGCCAAGCCAGTCCACGCAGGGGGAGCCAGGACTTTGGTGGCAGTGCTAGCACAGGACCCGTCCCTGGAAGGGAGGCGAGAGGCGCAATTGGCCACCGCGCAGCCCTAAGAGGAGAGTTTGCCCGAGATGAGCCAGCAGGGGGAGGCCCAAGCCAAGATGAGAAACAAGGTCCTGTATCACTTCAGCCCTGTGTGCAAAACTACAGGTAGTGTCAGTTCCATGGACTTCATTGTTGTCTGATTAGAATTTTCTGGTATGTATTAAGGTATGTCAGGCACCCCTGAAAAGCCAACAGTCTTCAGAGTCCCTTCAGAAGAAGGAGCTCCACCCAAAGCCCAGGTTCTAAGAGCAGTTAAAAGAGATGACTTCTTTTACCCAAAAGGAACACTCCGGGCAGGCAAAAACAGCAGATGTCTCCTCAAACACATCAGACTGTTCCCTATTTTCTGTCTACTAGAAAAATTTGGTGGGCCTGAAAGGAGCCACGATGTTGTCCTTGTTGCTGTACACTCAGTGACTAGTTCCTCCAGTGATACTGCCATTGGAGACACTATCCCAAGAGCCGACCTTAGCAACTTCAAAATTCTCTGTAGTAGTCATGAAGGAGATAGTGTTAAGTATTTATAAGGAAGTTGAGTACCTCTTTATATCCTGCTAAGATGGAGCAAGGGAGGGAGTAAAGGAGAATCAGAGATTTCTGGTTCTTGTTGAGTTATATCGTTAAACCAAAGATGTGGGAGTTGGATGTCCATAGCCTGAGCAAACAGTGGAGTGAAATCTTACCCATTTCAAGGCTATTTCCACTCACCCACTGCTCAAACTTCAAATCCCTGCCATTGTCATGCATAAAGGATCCAAAGATAAAGAGCATTTGCCCTCAGACCAGTGCTACAAAAACATCGGTTGAACAGCTATCACTAGCAGCTATCACTAGCGTTTTCAAGTGTAAGGAAACCAAGGTCACCGATTTGCACTGTCCATGATCCCTGTACTTCCTCTCACACTTAGGTGGACTGAGGTCTTGCCTGCCCTTGAAATGAGACAGCTGAGTCAGGCTTGTGCTGGTAGTTGACCATACCAGAAAAATCCACACCCATTTATTACCACCTACCCTGGGGCTCCCAAGGAGGGCGCAGAGAGCTGAGCTAACAAATATCTTTGTGCTAAGCACTCTACTGGGTGCTTTGTGAAATGACACCAATGGAAACATCAGTTTTAGCTCACAGAATGAGTCTCGTATTTGCCAAATCACTATTTTACAGATGGTTAGGAGGAAGGCGATACATCCGATTTTTCTTTAACCATTTTGTCTTTTTATAAAAACAAAGAGGACCTTGAGTTTTTTATTTTATATGTAACAAAATAGGTAATGGTTTAGTGCAAGCTTTTTTCCATCTGTCTCTTTTGGTTTCTTTTCAGGCTT